GGTAAACATACAATAAAATAATTATGGTTGCCGTTGCTACTAAATAATTACTCCGGATTTATCATTAGCGTGTTAAAGTCGGAGTAGTTATTATTTAGGTGAACTGCGAGAGCGTCCCTGAATACTTTTCTGCAACTCCACACATTCTATATAAAAATAAATTGACAATCCAACTTTTATAAAAACATTGGACAATTAATTTACCAATTTCTACCCCTAACTTTTCAACATCAAAAACTTTGTGTTGTTTGGAACTCTCTTCTTTTACACTTTTTATTTTATCTCTAAAACCAAAAAGACCAAAATATTTTACAACTTCTTTTGTAAACTTTTGTTTAAATTAAATTAACTCGCGTCTCTCTGAGGTTCGACACCCTACTTACAAGGGATTCTTTTTAGTTGTTATTTTTGCCCGTTCTATACTGCAAATCAACTTGGCGCCGTTGCCGGGGAGACGGTTTGAGTTTTTTTATTTTAAACATAAGTTTTATTGTTTATTTGTTGTAAATATTTGTTATTAGTTTGTTTTCCTAACCTCTTCTTGCAGGTACTAAAAAAAACAAAACAAAAAAAAACACAAAAAAGAAAAACTAAAAAAAAAACTGAAAAAAAAACTGAAAAAAAAATACTAAAAAAAAAATCCTTTGAGTCCCTTTACTCTTGAACACCTATTGGATTTGGATATATCAACTTGAGTCCCTTTACTCTTGAACACCTATTGGATTTGGACATATTGGACATACCTAGATATATTGAACTATCCCACAGGTCGGATTTTCCGCCAACGGAGATTGGACATTGTTTTTTTTCTTCTTTATTTTTCCCGCTGACCGGCAAAGCCTTCATAGGGTTTGTACATTTAATTACTGCACTTTACATTTCTGCATTTTTTTATCTTTCTTTCCAGGCGTGCAATGCCGCTATTGGACATTATATCTATATAATATATATTATATATTATATCGACTATATATTATATATTATATATACTATATATATTATACATATTATATTTATATATTATATATATTACATATTATATATCTATATATTATTACTAACTCTTTTTATTTTTTTTTAGTGTCCTCGTTGGTTTATTACCACTTGGCACTCTAACCACTAACTACTAACTAAGGTATCACTTGTCTCGGTGGTTTTTACCTCTTGACTTAACTGAGAGCCTTTTTATTAATTATTGTACATTACATTTTTTTTCTTTTCCTTCCCCCCCTTTCCCTTCTCTTTTCCTTTTATTTTTTTTCCCCCTTTTTATTTGCCTTCTATTTCCCTTTCCCTTCCCCTCTCTCTCTTCAACCCTCCCCAATCCCCTTCTTTTTATGCTAACGCGTTCACGTGGGATTAATCAAGAAAAATTTTTCTTTCCAGAAATTGAGAAACATTTGAAAGAAATAAGAAAAAGAAAGAAAAAGGAAGTCCCACGGATTGATGTTCGTGAAAATGTGCAGGAAATTCAGAGAAGACAAAATGAAGTTCCGAACAGGAGGACTCTTTCTGACTATGTCACTCCTCCTGTGGCGGAACACAACAACATTATTCCGCCGGATGTCACAGCAAACAACTTTGAAATCAAACCTGCTGTCATCCACATGGTCTCATCTGATCAGTTTGGTGGAGGACCAACGGAGGACCCACACAACCATATCACCAAATTCCTCCGAGCGTGCAATACGTTCAAAATCAGTGGTGTGCCAACTGATGCAATCAGGCTCCATCTGTTCCTATTCTCTCTAAGGGACAGAGCTCAAAGCTGGCTGGATTCATTTCCAGACAATCACTTCACAACTTGGGACCAGCTTCACGGCGAATTTCTCAAGCGATTCTTTCCGCCTTCCAAAACCGCAAAGATCAGGAGAATGATCCAAAATTTCAAGCAAAATCCAAACGAGCCCCTTTACGAGGCTTGGGAAAGATTCAAAGATCTCCAAAGGCAATGCCCACATCACAATATCCAAAGCTGGCACTTAATGACGGCTTTCTATGAAGGCCTAAATGAAAACTCACGGATATTGTTGGATGCCTCGGCGG